CAGTTGGAACCTCCGGGCGTTCGCCGCTAGTCGCCGAGAGACGGCGTTCTAGATTGCGCTACTCTGCTCCGAAGGAGCTATATAGTGCTCTACGTTCGCCGTGGTTGCACGCCGGCACATTTATTGCGGAGAAAGGGCGGTGCAATTTGTAGGGGCGCGTACGCCGACTGTACGGCAAGCGCGGATGATCAAAACCCAAAATAACTTGAAACTGATTTTTCTAACGGCTGAACCAAAAGCGACGATTGCAATACGAGCCACGATCTTGTGCGGTGACAGTGCGTGAAGCCGCTGCTGTAATCGTCAAAAAAAAAAAAAAAGAAAAAGCGTGTCCTGATTACAGTCGCGCTGGGACGTGTTCCGGATTATGCCGCCCCGGACATCCGTGGGACGTCCGCAGGACGTCAGCAATGGGACGTGGGACGTTCGCACGTTTTTAGGACGTCCGAGGGACGTTTGGTGTTGTCTGGGTATGCACCACACCGACAAGTGTACACATACTCCCATGTTTGGGGTGTACATGTGTTCCCCCAAAGGGTGTAGTATATGTGACAAGCACTTACACCTTCTATGGGTGTACCCCATGACACCCTTTTTCTGTGTTATGAAGTCTACAGGACGGCTACAAGACGTTTTAGGCTGTCACGTCTTGCCAAGACACATACAAGACCTCTCGCTCGTCTTGCCAAGACATCTTTCGACGTCTGTTAGACGACTTCGTGTTCAGTGGGTTCGCGCGCTCGCGCTCCTCGAGCGTCGATCAAAGCTGTGCACGGGCACTTTTCGCTTCCGAAATTCCCACAGAAAGTCGACTCCGAGAATAGAAGTTCCGTAGATCGTCACCAACCTCATTCGACGCGGTCGCGTACTCCCTCAGAAAGAACCACTGAATCCGCGGAGCCATTCTGTCGTCTGCTAGGCAAAACCGGCGGTGAAACTTTATTGCGGGCTTTTCATCGCTTTATGGCACTGAGACGATAGAAAACAGACTTCGTGATTAGATATTGACAATACACATTACTTACAAAAAAAAAATATATTCCCTTTTTTATCACACAATTTCTGACCTCACATCGAGCCCCTGCGCATATTTGTCCATGTCAATGCCCTAGCAACGATTCGTTTGGAGCGCAGCGCCATATTGTGCAAGCTCGTGGAGGAAAGAAGCATGGCGACGGTCAGTCGCCCTGCTTGCAATCGTCATAGCAGGCGTCTCCAAACCCCGGCCCGCGGTTCTTCCAATGAAGCCCGACTCGTGCCCCGCTTTCAGCAGACCCGCTGCTACCAGCTCAAAAAGAGGTAGCAGCAGACGCGCTGCTAGCGGCCTGCTCCAAATGCGCAAACAAAGATACAAGAAATAACTAAAGAGACTGTGTCGTAACGGGCGTCCTCTAACCATGGTATTGACTTCAGATTGTCATGACCAGCATCCCCGTTCTTAGTCCCCTACATAACGTCTCTGTATTTCGCGTTCTCATGTACATTGTGCTTAGTGCCCTGTCGCAACTATTGCATATTGTCGACATTCGTTTTATTGGTCTCATTAGCCGTTTGCACTGAGCGAGGGTCAAAGTTGATATGTGTTTTCAAATTCAGATTCAGATTTTTTTTTTTTTTCGAATTATTCATTTATTTACGCTACAATTGTTTGGACGCATAGCCACTATGGCTAGAGTCGGGTCCAAACACAAACTACGTATTGCCGTGCGGCACGAAGCAAACGTTACGCCAAATACAATCTTGCGTTCGGGATGGCATGGTTAGGTCATTAACCTTGAATGTTATAAAACAAGTTTTTTTTAAATAAAGGTAAAAGTTAGATTTCTGCTTAGTATCCGTGGGTATATCATTCCAAATTAATGCACCGTTGAATTCATCAAGTCTTCGACCATAAACATTTTTACATGGTGGTAAATTAAATTGATAACAAACAGCAGTCATCGTATTTCTTGGTGGGCATTTAAACACAGATAAAGGCAGTGGTTCATTAGTTCGTATAATGTTGCTATTTGAGCTATTTTTAATTTATATACTCAGCTTACGGGTTGCACTTGTAATGATTGAAATAAGTCGGCTAGCGTCAGTTCTACTAGAAAATGTGATTGTTCTTAGCGCACGTTTCTGTAGACAACTAATTGAATCTAGGTACGTAGGATATGTATTTCCCCATGACTCTAAGCAATATGTTAGCTGACTGTGTACGAATGCGACATAGAGATTGCGTAAAATACTTAATAAGTCGAAACATTCGCGCGCCTTTAGTAAAGTATAACACCCATAAGCAGCCTTCGAACAAATATTATTAATTTGACTTTTCCAATTCATGTCTGAATCCACAAGAACACGCAAATATTTGTAGCAAGAAACATGTTGTAATTTTGTATTGTCCAAGTATATGGCCAATCCATCGTAGTTTATTTTCTTTTTTCTAGAATGAAACACTTTTCATTTTTGTCTGGCGAGTTTTCTTTGTCTCAATTGCTGCGTAATATTATAATTAGCTACATATTACAATTCATTTTAAAGTTTATGTATTCATCAAACCAAGGATGGGCAGTATTTCAAATACAAGTATTTGAAATACGTATTTTAAATACTTTGTGCATTTTGCATTTGTATTTAATTACAAATTGGGTAATGTGTTTGACGTGTGTATTTAAATACTAAAATGCGGGTATTTCAAATACAATTGTAATTAAATACAATTTTGTGGGCGAAAATACATCCCTCAAATTTATTGTCACTCTCCAGAGCAGGAAGAAAACTACGTCCTGCACCGAATGCTGTGTCTCTCAATCAAGCACCAGGGTTTAGTGACTTTGTGATTACAGTGCTAGCCCAGGGCAAGAGTAGTGACGAAATCGACGTGCACAGGCAGACTGGCTAAATAAGTGCCTGCGACAACTTGTGATGCTTTCCAGCCTGATTTCCATCCATATTTTTGCCTGGAATATTCTAAATGCGCGGGTCGTCCAGATTTTCGTAACTGGTGCGAGTTGCAACAATAAAACATTCTCTAGCTAGTGCTGCGCGTCTTGGTCGTCTCGGTTCTTTGTTGGTCTATACCAAAATGTAATCGACAAAAAAAGCTGCTTGAAGCTCCGTACTTTTTCACCTATTACGTCCAAGCTGATTACATTTTTTGTGTGATTATATCTTTATAGCGTTAATAGAGCCTCGCTCACTAACTCCCGAGTGTGCGATGCAAAATTAAAATGAAATACCCAGAAACCCGTTGCAGGTGCCCTGAAGTCGCTGACGCAAATTTTAAGGAATGTATTTGGAAAAGTATTTGGAGGAGACCAAATACATTTGGTTGTATTTAAAATGCTTTTTTGGAAATGTAATTAGATTTGTAACTAAATACATTTTTGAGGAAGTATTTTGTATTTGTATTTTGATACATATTTGCATGTATTTTTCCCATCCCTGCACCAAACTTATGTGTTTTTTTTTTAATACTTGAAGTTTAATTTCTGAGTTTAAGTGCTATGTAGGTGTATTTTTCGTTTTCCTTTTCTTTTTTCCCCCGGCCCTCGACACTGCAACAGATCCCAAAGCTAGGCCCTTTAGCCAAAAGCTTTTGAGACTCCTGGTCCATAGGAAACGCGAAGGGTGAATTTTACCAAGGTGCTTTACTTCGAAGCGCTCGAAAGTATTCAAAGCTCGTTCAGGTTCCACAGGAAAACATCAACACTCTTTCCCATCTAACAGAACCAAGCTGACATTAATGGGCGTCACACGTCACACGGTCATTGCAAAAGCTGGAGGGTTTCACACGAGGTAACATAAAGGCGCCAGCATATCGCTTTTCGGCGGTGCTGTGCGAGGTTCGCCCACCCACAACAATTCTGTTTCCGAAGGCCGGCTTTGCCGCACGGCGCAACCTTCAAAACAAACTTTTTTTTACCTTCGCTCGCTCCAAGGTCGTTCGCATCAGTTCGCGTTTCGACTGCTCGGCGGCCATTATACGCCAGCAGTGCTCGCAGCTCGCTCCCCACACGCTGATCAACGGCGACGCAAAGTTTGAAACGGCATCTGTTCTCTGCCAGAAGTGATGTCACATGACGTCGGGTGAGTTTCTTTTTTAAGAAATCGGCGACATACGCAGTTTCTCTGCTCTGCCGCCAACTTTCAGCGGGATGACCCAAACCAAGCGTGCCGCAGAGAGGGAGAGAAAGAGAGTAGAAGAAAGCCCGAACTTTCGTGGCACCTGTTGTGGTTCGGCCGCTCCGATTTTATCGCGTCGTCTTTTGAGCTGGGACTCGTGCGATGCCTGCCAGATTCCCAGAGAGACGACGGCCCAGAACAAACGACCAGACGACTTCTTTTGAGACGTGGCCGTGCGAGACGGATCCGCCTTGGTGGACAAACCAACGCGTCGCTCGGTCACGACATCGGCTTCGTGACAGACGCATTTTACGCCTTGCTAACGGCGTCCGCAGTGCACCACACGAACGAGATGCCTCTGACTTTCACGTTCTGCTCTCGTAAGCGAACCAAACATCCGATTGCACACCGTTTTTTTGTCACATTTCAGAAACTTGGCGGATTTCGCTAATCGGTGCTGAGCAGTGACAGATTTAAGGGGCGACCTTAATGTTATCACAAAGTACGCTAACCTCTCTGCGCTTGATTATAAGAGCAAGTATTACGAAGAATTCTGACGTAATCAATAGTTTGAAGCACTTCTCAGTCGCGTAGATGAAAATACTTGTCAGTTAGAAAGTATATTTCATAGAACATAGCTTCATAGCACCGGCACTTTTCTACAGGGGATCTGATTAAACTTGTCTGAAGAAATAAACGTTTTTTTTTCTTTATTCTTCTTTTCGACAGCATTTGAAGAGGGTGTTTTTGAGTGTACGGGTGCCTCAGCCAAGCCGCTCAATTGTAAACATCGCCAAAAAAAATAAAATAAAAAATACACGGAAAGGGGGAAAGTCAGCGAAAACACGTGCTTTTCGTGGCCTGCAATGCGATTGTGAGTCACACGCTGGTCGTTACTAGCAGCCTAAAATGTTGCCTGCTCCTTTCTTGTTTTCCTTCGCGTTTTCCGTGCGCCTGCACTGCGACTATTTTTTCGTCAGCCTTTATCTTCGTAGGCTTCGTGCTACACCTGGGTGGAGGCGTGGCAGTTATCAAACAGACTGACCACGTGATTCGCTTCTTATCTCGAGCGCCGGTGACGTGCCGGAGAGCGCGGTCCTTTTGGAAACCGGCATTGTTCGTCCCGTGCAGGAGGTGCGAAGGCGACGCAAGGCCCTACTCATGAGCCAAGATTCCCCCGAATACGGCGAGTGGCTCTTCTGGCGGGTTCCCCCGCACGCCGCCACCGCCGCTCAGGGAATCGAAATCGAGCGTTTCGCGGCCGCAGCCCTCGAGCGACGTCGATTCAAGGCGGCTCCCGTGCATCGCTCCGTGTTCCTCGAGAGGCCTCCTAGCATCGACGATGCGACGTGCCAGCTGGGGATACCGATCGACGGCGACGTCTTCGACGACCGCTACCACGACGAAGACGCTTCGTCGGAACAGCGCCGTTCCGCGGGCGCTTGGAACGCCAGCGCCACCCAGAACTGGCGGGAGGCTGCTAGGCCCAATCGCGTAGGCCGTCTGCTTCGCGATGTTTCTCTGCCGTCGGTGGTCTCTTCTGCGACGTTCGATGGAACTGTCAGCGACGTCGAGCGTCCCGTAGGCGATGCCAGCATGGGAAACAGGGGCAGCAGTCAGCAGGGAGCCGACGGCAAGCGGGCCAAGGGCTCCTCGACAGACGCGCTCGCCTCGGAGACGCCCAGAGGCAGTCCGGGCCTCTTCCGACTCGTCGGCCGGGACGCCAAGGGAAAAGTCAAAAAGACTCCGCAGACCGCCCGTAAAAATGCCCCCGAGAGCGTGGCAGCTGCGCCAGCGGACGCCGGAGAAGCATCGCCGAAGAAGACGCCGGCGCCGGCCCAACCGTCGGCGGAGAAGCGCTCGGAGTCCAGTCCCGAAAGCTCGGGCTCGGTTTACGTGGACACGGTGTCCCACCTGCCCACGCCTGCCGAAGAAGACGCCGGTGCAGCGACAGCCGACCCCGACTCGGTGACCCTCCAGGATTCCCCGAGCAACGTGAGTGACTCGACCGTGTTCGGTGACGAGGACGGCCGTTTCGGAGCGTCGGGCGTTGACGCTCCGGTGGGCCCCTACTCGACGCTACCGTGCCGTGGAGGGTCCGCTCGAGTCCGGTCCTTCAGCGAGGCTGAGTCGACGGCCCAGCGCGCTCCTTCCTGCACGAGCCTGGGTCGCGGAGACGTCGGCTTGCACTCCGGGGCTGCGACGCCCACGTTCACGCTGACGCAGCATCGAAAGGTGGTGCTGCCCAAGTTCCCGGTGCCGTCGTCGGCGGTGCCGCCGGAGACGCCGGCCGCCGTGACGGCCAGCAGTGAGGACGGCGGCGACGCCAAGCCGCTGGGCGCCGGTGGCCGCCGGCACTCTGCGTACGACGACGTGCCGCCGCTGGACGGCAACGTGCTCCGAAAGGTGGCCTCGCTGACGCTGGACAGGGCCACCATCGAGGCCAGGGTGAACCGGCCCAAGGTGGTGCCGGAGAAGCTAGACTTCAGCCTCTACGAGAAGTTCGAAGGTGAGCCTCCTCGCGTCCCAAGCTGTCCCCCGCTTCTTTTATATATCTATTTATTAAATACTGCTGCCTCATTAAGGTTTTAGCAGGGTGGACACAGTGGTACAGCAAAATACACCGATTATCACGCCAAAAGTACATGACAATATAAAGGCATGCTGCAAGCTATGTCCCGATCACCAAGCCAGTTCGCACAAGTGATGGTGATACACGTATAGAAAAACATTTCAAAACACCGTTCAGTAATTAAAAAAAAAAAAAAAAAACTTTTATCACACAAACGAAGAAAAGGGGAAAAGGCTCAAGGTACACCTAAGCACTTCTTATGAGTTGTGAATTTGAAAGCCTGTACATCATTCTTCTGCTCCCTTATTTCGTCTGCAGCATATTTGTTGTCGGCAGAGCGGGGGGCGCTCTGCCGCCGAGGAGAGGGCTCCTCTCCTCACCATGGGGTGGCCGGTCGTTGAAACTGATGTGCAGCGTCTGTTTCAGCGACCGGCCACCCCATGGCGCTGCGTGTCCGGCCAACAGGAGCCTCGTCGACGCGCGCCAGCCAATGGGACCGAAACCGAAAGTCCATCATTCGCTCATTCGGGATCGGGGAATTTCGGTGCCGTTGGCTAGCATTGTGCGTGGTTTCGTAGCTGGGAGCTGGCTTCACTTGGAGAAAGGATTTAAGGTGCCATTTGGTGCAGTTTCAAAGTGTTGACGATTGGGCTAGTTGGTCATTCATATTAGCGGAAAACAAACAGCGCAAGGACAAGGACAGAGCAGAAGGCGGTACACACACAGCGCTGACTTACAACTAAGCTTTATTGGCACTGACAACCTGTATAAATACACAATTTGCTGGCCCAAAGGCCAAGAAACTGCGCTATTGAATGTGCATATACGAAGCGTATGCGTGCTTGACGTTCTGGAAATCGCTATGGGGCAGCACTCATCGGTGCTCCTAAGTGATAAAATCTGTGGGAGAAGTATCTTTTGCTCCTTTTATTATCGGATAGCTTTTCACTTGCTGGCGCAGATCGAGTAGACATACTGGGATTTAGTTGATCGCAGCCGTTTTCACCGGCGCATGGAGGGGATGGGCCCTGAATTTGTAGGACTTGCGTAAAAAAAGTTAGCGCCGACTGTGGCTCCAAACGTTTTGTATCGATCTGTGCTCAGGTATGCCGACATTGATTAGAAGTTAAAGCCAGCTGCTGCGCGCCATGTCTATGCTAAATACTTCTGCGAGGAGCCTCGCCATGACGCCACTGTCTCGTCGTACGCTTCCAAAAGAATTGTATGCGCTACAGTTGATATATGTTCGCTCGCATGCTTCATAGCTGCTAGGACCATTTAACTTCATTTCCGAAGAATTAATTTACTACGTTTGGGTAACATAAACACCTTGCCAAAAGATGCACTCGGCCGTAACGGACAGTGGGTGTTGCCAGCCTTGTCGGCTCTGTGGGAGCTGGTCTTTTTCGATCTTTAAACTTCGAATGCCTCGTTTCACCATTCAAGTTTGGAATTTGATGCTCCTCCTGCAGTCACATCGAATTGGAACCCTACGGTAAACCACTTGTAAGCAAGGTCAAGAGGCTTTGGGTCTCGAGTTTCAACATCATTGCTGCATGTCCTTGACGCTGACACAAACTGCAAGGCCTCTAGAGGTAAAGAATGAGGCGCTCTTTTGGGTTCAAATTATCACACAATAGCCTCTTTTTCTTGGGTAGCCTCCAAAATGACAATCGGACGTAATTTTCTCTCGAGCTACCACTTGAGAATTGCCCCGCTGTGAAATGTTGCAATAGGTTTTCTTCTGCTGTTTGAAGAATGTTTTTTTTTCTTTGTATAGATAAATTTATTGAGTAGGATGGGGGAAGATGTAAAACAAAGTTGAGTGTTTTTCATTGAGCAATTTCTATGCATACATTTTTGTGCTTAACCGCAGTAGTGTAATCCCTGAGCTCTCTGTGCCGTGAAACCTTTCCTACGAATACTCGGTACAAAAGGCTTGGTGCCTCGCTTAGGATTGCGGTGAGTTGCCTTGGCAGCGGCGCAGCCCAGGGGGGGGGTGTTCCCGGGGTGTCGGTCGAGGATTGTGGTGGGGCGTTCGTGCCATAACTGGCTGTTTGGGGAAGAGAGAACCAAATTTTTTTCACCGTAAAAATGAAATATGTTTTACCGAAAAATCGTTCTTCCACCCCAAATGTAGTACTGGCGGTTTTGACCAGATCTACAGATTTCAGAGCTAGCTTTTCAGTGTCGGACCTCTAATCTCCAAGTTTCAGACCTTTCAGCTTCAGACCTATCTAATTAAAAAGTCACGAACGATTTTGGGAAATTTTTAATGAAAAAATGGTGGCCAAGGTGATACATGAAGATGATTGGCATACGGTGCTGGGACTCGATTTTCTCATTATAAATGTTTGGAAATCACAACCTCTGAATGAGATAACCGTCAGTCCTGAAACTTTGAGGACCCTGTTAGAGCACTGCACGGCTGCTTTTATAAACCCGGGCCCGGCAAAGGTTGAGGGACCAAATGAACTAAACAGCCAATATCTTGCGCCATTAGGCACCAAATTGCGAAACGTGCGCCAAAAAAATTGGATTTGGTCTTGGTTTCGGTTTTTATCTACTCGATTGGCTACAATGAGTGCGTCTGGCTTGGTCGGCCTTGCAATCCTTTGTTCTGTTTATTCTCCCTGTGTATCCCGAGTTGGAAGCGCACGAAAAACTCGGGGGTCGGATTCCAAGCGCTACACCACCTGCGACTGGATTGTTATTCTTCAACCACAAGCGGTTAAGCGAGTCGGCCGAGGTGAGGTGGAGTCGTTAAGCGTCAGATTGCCCGAGGCTCTGCGGCCCAGGATTCGGACGTCAGCCAGTTGAAAACAAATGAGCAAAAATGCCTTTTCGTACCTCATCATTAGAGGTTGGAACCGCATTCCCGCAAGATAAATCGTGATTTGATAGAACTGAAACGCGGTCCAATCCAAAACCTTGCTGATCAGCACCTCTCACACAAGCGGTAGATCTGCTTATTGCTTCGAATCTGGTAACTCCATTAATCATAGTCTGCTGCTTCGATATTGAGTTGCACAACAGGATAAGCTGGAAATTTGTTGTCCTGTTCCTCTATGCAACTGCACGTCCGCTGCTTACGCGCGTCACGTGGTGCGCACATATAATTACTATGTCGAGCACGGGTGGGTTGTGCGACAAGCAGTGCTGGTTTGCATTATGAACAGCTGAAAGCTCTCAGAAAATATCAAGGACACTATCTCCAGGAACATATCGTACTTGCTTTTTGGTTCTCATTAAGGCTCACAAAGTTCCAAGTTTTCGCTTCTGTTACATTGTTATCCCATCTACCTAGATCCCTAACCACTCATGTTCACCTGTGCTGCTGAGCACAATTGAAATTGCTCCCGTGCTAGTCTAAGACACAAGCTGTAGTGCAATGAAAACTGGTCCGAGCTGCTCCTAGCCTGCTCCAGGATGTAAATTTAGCTGCTCCCAACCTGCTCCAAAACAGCTGTTTCAGCTGCTCCCGTGGCTGCTCCCAAAAACATTTTACGAGTTCCATCCCTGAATGTGTCATACCAACTAGCCCAAGCTTCAACTTTTTCTTTCTACCTTCCACTCTATATATCAGTTATGTAATCTCCTGTTGCGAGCGAATTGAAATGCAAAAGGAAAAGCAAATAAAGCATTTTCATTCATTTAAAAGATAGAGTGGCTTTTGTTTTAGTATGGCGGGGTTTTGCGTGAATTAAAAAGTTAATTTTAAGTGAGCTGTACCCTAAATTTACGACAATTCTTCCGCACTCATTTTAGTGATCTAATAAATTCATAGATCAATTGGCTATGTTTAAACATGCATCTAGAAATAATAAATTGCCTCTTTTAATTAAATCTAAATCAAATGAATTGATTTATTTTTAAAAGCCTGTAACACATTTTTTTGGAAACCCCCCTTCCCTCCCCCAATTCCAAAGTTTTGCCTTTCCGTTCGTCCATGCATTTCCCGTTAAATTTAGCGGCGAAATTAATGTCTCGTGACCCGACGTCACGTGACCTACACACCAATTCAGTCTCCACGGTAAATTTAGCGCAGATATTGACGTCGCACGACCCGACATCACGGAACATATAGATTAATTCAACTTCACAGCAAGATTTGGCGGGGAAATCTGTCACGTGACCTATGCGCCGAGTCGACGAAATTGTAGTTACCAATGGATCGAGTCAGTTTCCCCGTTTAGCAGGAAATGATAAAAGGTTCTTCACTCCCTGAAACGACCGTGCAATGTCTCATAAAAACATTTAATGGGTCGCTTCCTAAATACTGTGTTGTATAGAACTTGGAAAGTGGCTGCCCCTGCTCGTGGGTGCTTGAAAAGCGTCTTGGACCGGCGCGTTTAGCACATCCTCCGCGATGCATCCCAAACGGTCCCCAAGTGGCAGCAAACGACCCGAGAAAAGCCGCACGCCGTAGGAGGCCGCAACCCTGGCGGTCGGGCGTTGGGGCAAACGCACGAGCGAGTCTTGGCTGCCGAAGCTTTTATGGACTGTCGAGCACGCGGCAGAACAGGCCGCTGCTGCGACGCCGTGGAACGGAAATGGAGGGACTCGCTTTTGGGGCGCGGCAAACTCGCCCGTTGGAGATGCGTTCCAAGCGCTGTACCGACTCGAGGCTCTCGGAAAGAGGGCGCCGCTTGAGCTTTGGCCCTCCGCCTGTGCCCAGGGCAGATGCTGCTGAACTGGTTCTGCGTGAGCTTCCCGGACGACCACTACCTGCGTTTCCTGCTCACCCGGCAGGACATCAAGTTGCTGGCGGCCCAATTCTGCACCCACCTGCTGGCTGCGGGGGTCCTCTGCCAGATTGAGGACGGCAACGCGCCCCTCGAGTCTCTCTTCAGGGTGAGGCCGGCCGCCCGAGGGGCCTAACCGATACCACCTAAAAAGGCCCCCCCCCCCCACCCCCCCCCCCAAACATCTTTGCTAGAAGCCGCCTAGCTTGCCGGGGACGGCGAGACGTCCGTCGCTTTGCGGCAGCTCTTGTTGAGCGTGCTCGGGGCAGGATCCACTAATGATGACGTCATGCGCAGTCCTTGTCTTCTTCTGGGTGGTCCTTTGAGTGCCGGGTCTCTTCCCCGCATTTTAAGCGACAATTTTGGTTTTATGCAGAGTAGCGTTCTCTGTGAAGTATGTTTCTTCACACACTCCCCTTTGGGCTTGCAGTTAATTGATGTCTGTGAGCCTCCTACTTAAGCCATTTTTCTCAAAATACATGCAAATATGCATAGAAATACAAATACAAAATACTTTCTCTAAAATTTATTTAATTACAAATCTAATTACATTTCTAAAAAAGCATTTAAGTACAAGATACCAATACAACTAAATGTATTTGGTCTCCTCCAAATACTTTTCCAAGTACATTCCTCAAAATTTGCGTCGGCGACTTCAGGGCACCTGAAACGGGTTTCTGGGTATCTCATTTTAATTTTGCATCGCACACTCGAGAGTTAGTGTGCGAGGCTCTAGTAACGTAATAGGTATATAATCACAAAAAAAAATGTAACCAGCTTGGACGTAATAGGTGAAAAAAAGTACAAAGCTTCATGCAGCTTTTTTTGTCGATTACATTTTGGTATAGACCAACAAAGAACCGAGACGACCAAGACACGCAGTACTAGCTAGAGAATTTTTTATTGTTGCAACTCGCACCAGTTACAAAAATAGACGACCCGCGCATTTAGAATGTTCCAGGCAAAAATATGGATGGAAATCAGGCTGGAAAGCATCACAAGTTGTCACAGGCACTTATTTAGCCAGTCTGCCTGTGAATGTCGATTTCGTCACTATTCTTTCCCTGGACTAGCACCGTAATCACAAAGTCGCTAAATGCTTGTGCTTGATTGAGAGAGACTTCATTCGGTGCAGAACGTAGTTTTCTTCCTGCTCTGGACAGCGCCTTTAAAATAAAGCCGGTGGAGAAAAAGAAAAAAGCTCCATGGCCGAATAAAGGATGGAGACTATATCTTACAGCCACATGCATAAAAACAAGGTGTATTTTCGCCCACAAAATTGTATTTAATTACAATTGTATTTGAAATACCCATGTTTTAGTATTTAAATACACACGTCAAATGCATTACCCTATTTGTAATTAAATACAAATGCAAAATACACAAAGTACTTGAAATATGTATTTCAAATACTTATATTTGAAATACTGCCCATCCCTGATTTCTAGATTTCAGTGTTAGCCATAAAGTGTGAGGTATAACGACATAGATACCCGAGAGAAGAGTAAAAGTGCAGGCAAGCTGGTGAATTGCAGACAACAAAGCCTGAGACACCGGAAGAAGGAAAAGGACACGAAGGAGGACGACACACACGTTTCGAACACAGCTGAAGGTTTTTTTCTAAGGCCACACACTTTTATAGGTGTACACCGCTGTCAATGCCAAGAACCCTTACACCAAGTCATACCCTCAGATCGTCAGCAAGAGCGAACAAAAGAGCTGCACTTGACGCTTCCGCACGTGCCGAAATCAACCAACTAACGAGAAGAAAAAAATTTACATTTGTACAAAAGTTTGTACCCGCTTGTCAATCACCATCGCCTGGACACTTACTACACAATTTCCAGCAGAACCAGAACTGAGTTTTTTTTACTACGCATTTAAACTAATCACACTCTCAGCTTATCGCCGTGGTGGCCGTCCAATCTGGATGACAATTGTTGCGAAGTTGTAAATGTTTTACAATTTCTGAATTTGGGGACTGCAGAAGAACAAGCCTTTTGTGCTTCACAAGTCTGTCATTAACACAACGTCCAGTTTGACCTGTATATGAAAGCCTTCATGCCAAAGGAATATTATAAACACCTTCTTGACATTCAATGGCAGGATTCCTATGCTTTTTCCCGCAACCTTTTTTTACCTTTCGTGAAAGAAGTCGAGCTACATAATCTGAAGTCATTCTTGAGTACTACCCTAACGCCAAAACGGGCGGCTTGTGCTTTGAGGCTATGGGATATTGCGTGATAAAAAGGCACGCACACTCATTTGTCAGCTTTTTGCTTTTCACATCTTGTTCCAAAATCAACCGAGAGTTTTCTTGCAGCACTCAAAAGCACATCTAAAGGATACCCCGAGTTGACCAAGCGTGAGAAGTGGCGATGATCTCAAGGCGATGATCTCAAGACTTCTGTAATGCATTTCTAAAAAGAGAGGAAACTATTCCCCTCTTCAGTTTTCGGATGACAGCTCTGGTAATTAGAACCGGTCTAGGAGCCTCCTTCGTGTAGCTCCAGCATAAACCAGCTGAAGAAAAAACCTTCAGGTCGAGAAACGTGAGGCAGCCGCTGACAGAATCCTCAAGAGTAAAAGAAAGTTCCTTAGCCTGTTCTTTGGTTAATGCTACCCACCAATCAACAGAAGGCCCCCCCAGCACGCAGATAAAAAAGTCGACAATGCATTGCCTAATTATAGCACAACCTGCGGTAATGACTGCAACTTCGCGTGCGTGGCCTGATCGAGAGTACTAAGGTGGGTGCTAAGGAAGAACGTATGCAGACACCTTGCTTCTGCGCATAGGTGAACATCTCAACCTCAACCGCTGTCGACCTAAGATAAAGCACGAGGAAGGACACACAGCTGCCCACACGAATCCCCGACACAGATTGGAACCTTACCAAATTGCTTTCTAACGAATCACTAACCCTGCGGAGAAGGAGAGTCTTATCCAGCGAATAATATACTAGATCTTTGATATCAAGTGAAGCCCCCACACAGGGTTTTGAATGAAAAAGACCCAACGACGTGATCAATTCTTCCGAGTTCTGGAGCGACGAAGTGTTATCAATCTTCAGGACATTCAGTCACGATTGAGGAAAGTTTGACAAGGCACGCTGCCATGTGCCATTTTCATTGATGATAATCCTCGGAGCTAGCTGCGGTTTATGGTCTTTTAGAGGGAACTTTACTGTCAAGGCCATCCCTGTTGCTTAGGTCACTTTCCTAATGAGACGCAAGGTCCCGGAACAAAACTTGCCGCATGCCGTCAACAGGTATCAATACGAGACAAAACATTGCTCTACAAGTAAAAATGAAATGACAGCCCATTTAAGAGGGAGCAAACTAAAACCTGCATGGGAAAGCTGCCGAGTATACTTGGGCGAGGCATTCAAAAGGTTAAAGCCACCTTTGCCAGTTACTCTAAACAACCCAAAATATAAATTACGCATGGTGACGAACACATAGCGTGCCCCACTCAGTCGCAAAATTCTTTGTTCGCGGAATGTACTTGAAATGTGCACGTTGCAAATTTCGCAAAATATATAGCTTGTGAAAATAGTCATTTACAGTATCTGAAGTTTTGTCTGAAAGGGTGGGAAATGCTTTTCCGAGCTCCCTGAAACGGCATCTAACAATAAGAGCACCTCCACCAATCGGAAGCCAACACGTCACTTTGGAGCACCTTTGAACCCTAACTATCCTTAATTGCAGTCGCTCTGCTCTAGGCGGCATAATGGTGGCACACATGGTCTGGGAATCGAGGGCCAATACTTAAGCATAGCTTATTCGGTCGCTTTAGTACGCATCTTTCTCCAAACCCTAGCCCATAACAGCTTCGCTGTAAAAGCTCTAGCATGTTTTTATTGCTTCACGAAGATACAGCCCTAAAACATATAGGGCCTGCAGATGACTATGTTTTCTTAACACTGTGATTGCGAGTTGCCAGGACCAGTGCGAGCTTGAAATTTAATTTCTGTACTTTCTATGTGCGGGCTCGAAAGCTTGTGCACGTCCGTAAAATAGCCGCTGCTGACGAACTCATTAAAAAGCTTGTGCACGTTTTCATTGTTTCATGAAGATACACAGCCCCAAAACATATAGGGCCTGCAGATGACTGTTTTCTTAACATTACGTTGGACCGTGAGTTGCCAACACGTCCATGCTTGGTATGTCGCCTGCAAAGCTACTCCTTTAATTGGCTGCTCGAAGCACAGATGTCTTGCGATTGTAACTGACTGAATCCGTCTTAACCTTGAATGAAAATATTGATGCATTACTGGTAGGACCGTCGCTCTTGCCCAAATTAGTGATGCATAGTCAAATTAGAGCACTGCACGGGCTGGAATTTCTAGGCCCGGCCCGACCCGGCCCGGTAGAGACACGGCCCGGGCCCGGCCCGAGCCCGACAGAATTTTTAATTTCTAGGCCCGGCCCGGAGGAGACACGGCCCGGGCCCGGCCCGAGCCCGACAGAATTTTTAATTTCTAGGCCCCGCCCGACCCGGCCCGATGGCTGTAGCCCGAAACAACCCATTCCCGTTTGAACCCGTCCCGTTTCGACCCGTTCCCGAAACGAGCTCCCCATTTGAACCCGTCCTGTTTCCACCCATTCTTTAAACGCCCTTCCCATATGAACCCGTCCCGTTTCGACCAGTTCCCTAAACGCCCTTCTCGTTTGAATTTGTCCTGTTTCGACCCATTCCCTAAACGCCCTTCTTATTTGAACCAGTTTCCGAAACACCCTCTGCGTTTGAACCCGTCCCGTTTCAACCTACTTTTATAAGGCCCTGCACATCGCAACCTCTTCGCAAAAAGTCTCCATCGTTCTAAGCCTGGACGGCGCACCTTTTCTGTTTAAGAATATGTTCTGAAGTAGCTTTACATGTCAACGCGTTCTTAAAATATACAACCCTTTCAGGCAAGCTTAAGTTTAATATATTCCTACTTAACCCCTTAAAACGTTTTTTTCAAAATGGTTCCCAAAACGTGCAAGCGCGGAACGGACTATGTACACTGCGCGACACTGATACTGCGAACACGACGTTGGCTCTTTTTTCAAACTTCGAAATGGTGTTAGTAGGCACCAAGGTATACCACTTAGGTCTGTGGCCCAGATGAGTACTTCTAAAGACACTAATTATTTTGAAAACAGCGTTTTGATTCTATGAGATAAACATAAAAACACGACGATCGCTTGTTCGCGCTAATATAGTGTCGCGCTCTGTGCAATAAGGGAGTCTTAGAATAACGTACTCAAGCACTTTGGGCAGGTTAAATTAGCATCGCCATAGGTTTTACATCGCAACGCTATTTTTACGGTACCCAAAGCGCTTGCGTACGTTTTTCTAAAACTTCCTAATAGTGAACTAGATATTTTTGAGAGCGATGAATCAGACAGGTTGACAAGCATATGACTGGGACTTTATTTTGTTTACAATATATAACACTGAACCCTCGCTCACATGGAAAAAGCTTGAAGGCTTTTTCCATGTGAGCGTCAAGACATTTTGAGTTATTATTTTTAACGACGCTGTAGTGAATTTGCACTTCGCTTTTTTTTGTATTCAATGAACCTAAAAGATTAATGAGCAAACTTCTTGCTATCAACAACAATTTATGATTTACGGCACAAGATTGCCCAGCCACGGCCCGGGCCGGCGCGGCCCAAGAACGTTTTTGTTCAAGCCCGAGCCCGGCCCGGGCCCGAGAAAATACGTGCTACCCGGCCCGAGCCCGGCCCGCGGGCCGGGCTCGGGCTTTTGGGCTAGCCCGGGCCCGTGCAGTGCTCTAAGTCAAATAGTGCTGTGTGGATGGGCCTTGAGCGAAAATGTGAATTCATTTCTTTGGCATATTTGGCTCATATAGTGTCAAAGATGAAATATTACCGCATAAGCCAAGTTTTAAATGTCTCGCATCACAAGGTCCAGGTCCTTCCCAGGAAATTGACAAGACGGTGGCACAAGGTGCTGGCAGTGAGGCGCGACACTACTTGCCCAACAACCCGTCGTGCTGCGGGTTGAGACACGTTTATCTGCTCGCCGATTATCGTCCACCCGAATGTCCCAGCGCTGTAGCATTGCAGCGCAGCCAAGAGCTAGACCATTGCAGGGACCGGCGGACCACGACTGTTGTTCCACTCCTCCAGCGACGGAGAGCTCAGGAGGCTGGCCACCAACTCTTTCGTAAAGCAGTAGTGCGCAAGAAATTAGCAGCCGTTGAGCACCTACATTGCATCCAGTTGGTTCCTGAAATGATACCGTGGCTCTGGAAGATTCTCGTCTTCGTTGTGGTGCAAAAGTTTGTCGGTTCAGAGGACAAAATCCTCGAACTCGGCGAACGATGTGTTGGCTGCCACGACATCTAGAAACCAGCTTGAGTCTCGAGGTAGCTCCGACGCTACCTTGAGATTTCGGAGGAAATTGGTGAGTACTTCCGTCGAGTGGAGTTTCGAGTCAAGTTCAGGCTATGATGTGCAAAACCGTCCTGAAGTGGAGTTTAAGTGGAGTTTCAAGTCAAGAAGCGTTTAGGAGTTGTGCAGTCAGCGTTGCTTGCTTGGAGTTGAAGTAAGGAGCCACATCAGCTGACTATGTTGACGTCACCACTGACTAAAAGTGTGCAATGCTGAGCGTTTCATGGGACAAAGGCTGCTCCCTGTGTTCTCCGTGCATTTCAAGCATGGAATATATAAAGCTTGAAGTTTGAAATGAGCGACAATCTCTTCAAAATGCCCAACTTTTACCCCCAGATTTTGATTTTTTTACTCAAAAACATTTGGCAACCTTTTGCCAACACGTTAAAGGTACATGGAAAATAAAATGATTCTTGTATACACAATGATGTGGTAATAATCTCGCCTGTTGAGGAACAATGTTCGCTTGCTGGCCTCTCTTGCTGTTAGCTTTTTTTTTGGCCAGGGCCCCACTGCTCGTTTTGTGTCTGCCATTAATTGGTTTTCATTACAAATGTTGGCAGCGCTCGATGCGTCCACTCTAAGGCGAACAAATGGAAGAAAGACATTAGGTTTGCCTCAGATCTCTCCCAAAAGTATGCGTTTACGGCACATACTTGCACCTCAGTGTGACGCAAAAAAAGCGGTTACTCTTGCAGAACGTAATATCTGCCACTCCGCAGCTGCTGTCATTCTCTTCTCTCTCGAAGAAACAGGATGGAGGCTGGCGGCCCAGAGCGTGGGATCCTTAATGTCGGCGAAGACGCGTCTCTGGGACTCTGTACACTCCCGTCGTTTACACTTTCTGCGTTGGATTTATGTGCACTTGCTGCACACTGCCTTAGTTGATTTCCAAGTGCAGCATATCTAAAACACAATCAGTAGTTCATTGTTCCGCACTTCTCTGCACCGGCCCAGGCTGGTGGAGGTAAATGGAATGAGCCCACTGTAGTTTGTTGCGGGAGAGACCTCTCCATTAAGCCCTCTGCTCTTTCCACTCTCGTGGAGCCAGTCATGGTGAGCTTTGTGAGAGAGGCAGATTCTTTAACCTGTAACCGAGTATAGTATGCAGTTTGCTAACCCCTGGCACCATTTGGACGTGAGGTACACGCTGGAGGCAAGACAACCAAACTACTCCCCGTCGTTCTCACCTTTTCAGTGGCTGTAGTTGCTCTTTATTTTGCTCGAGAACACCGACGTTAAGCGCTGTATTGAAAGGAATAAAGGTGACGAGTGCTCAAACGAGCTCGACTTGTTGCAGCAAAATAAACACTCGGGCCCATCGTCGGCATAGAGTTAATATAATAATCTAGAGGGAAAGGTCCCATGCATTGCAACCTCTGTGGAATGACGGGACATAAGCATCGATGGTCCCATCGGTGGTCCATCGATGCCTATGTCCAGAACCAGACCGCTGGCAACCCAGATCGGGCCCAGATCACTGACGATGCCCAGATTGCTGGCGACGCTTTAATACGCGCAAAGAAGCAAAAAACATCACTCGCGAGGCCTATTATTTTTACAGCGGAGCTGTTAAGGGCAAGTTTCTCCAGGATTGTGTCCCCCGCAAAGGAATGTTGACACAAAACTCTGGACAGCTACCGCCATCTGTGTGCGATGGCGGCAACCAGACAATCGGCGTGCCATCCTTGCTCATAGATGGCGACAACCTTTCCAGCCTTACTGCGGGTAGAAGCCATAATCGTCGTCCTAGAAGTCATTCTTGAGGCCGTCCTAGACGTCGTCCTTGAGGTCGTCCTAGACATTGTTTTCGAAATCGTCCTAGAAGTCGTCCTTGAGGTCATCCTAGACATCGTCCCTGAGGTCGTCCTAGGCATCGTCCTCTGGGCGTCATTCTCGAGGTCGTCCTAGACATCGTCCTTGAGGTCGTCCTAGAAGTTGTCCTTAGACGTCGTCCTTGAGGTCGTCCAAGAAGTCGTCCTTGAGGTCGTCTGACCATAGTACAGCTTCGCTGGTCTTCCTTCTTCACCAAAGTAAAAAGGCTGAAGGTTTTCTAGCTTTATTTTGTACTTAATGGAAAGCGTCGAATAAAAAAAAAAAAGTTGACAAGCCCTGCAACAACTTGGAGTCTTTGCTGTAAAACACGCAGCTCGTCGACTGCTTTCTTTCTTTTTCTGGGGACGCGGTACGACACGACCCGTGCTCACCCCTTGCGGACCTTGCTTGCAGCCGGACCTGATGTACTACTGGACGCACTCGGAGGCGCCTGCGTGTGCGTCCAGCCTGCCGCTGCCAGGGAAGCTGACCACGGACTACTGGCCGCCCCCGGGGGAGGATCTTCGGCCAGGGCTCCGCTACACGGAGGCCGGTGAGGCTAGTTCCCAAGCTTCCACAATCTTTTTTCAAAGCGCTGTCTGACGCCTCAAATACCGATTTATCTTCTCCTTTTGTCATACTAATGGCGATCGAGAAACTGTGTGTCATCGGGAGCTTTCGCATGTCGGCAGAGTGCAAGAACGGGTTCTTTCTCCATTTTTTCAGTTTTGAAACAATTGTTACAGTTTCAGTTGCCCAGGGGCTTTAGTGCTGACTTTGTCCAGAGAGGTTGATTGGACTCTAGTGCCGAGTAAACGCCGACTGTCTTATTTAATCTGTGCGTCGCATCTCCTCCGCTCGAAAGAACCTCAAAGCTCTTTTTTGGTCGACCATTAAAAGGCTGCCCTTATTGCAGCAGCACACTCGGCCGCCTACCAAGGCGGGTGGAGTTTTTTGTGACTGTAAGAGTATACGCCTTGAACAAGCCCTGTAGCTGTTGCCATTTCGCCGTCAGCAAAGCCGCAGGTGCGACTCGAGCTAGCAGCTGGAAGTCTTCTGCCATTGCGGTAGACCGTGAAAACCTGCTGAGTGCGAATCTTTGACCCGTTTCGTGCATGAGGAGTTTTCCGGCCCTTCGGACCACTTTTTTCCTCACTTGTTCACATACCTTGGTTACGTTACCTTCCAATGTGAGATTTGGGTCTCGTAGCCTCGGCTCTTAATCAGTAGCGTATTTTCGCATGTTTCACCCGTCCATGCAAATAACCTGCACCCCAAACTAACTACAGTCAAACCCGTTTATAACGAACAGCAGGAAACGCTACGACCAGTTCGATATAGCAAGTAGTTTGATATGGCAACAACTATTTACAACAAACTTTCACAATGCCTTCGTTGTAAGGCGAGAGCTTCTCTTTCTTTCTCATCTCTTGTAACAATGCCTTGTAACAACGCGCTGTAATGTTTTTTTTTTTTTTTTGCTTGTGTGGAAAGTGCTTTTTTTCTTTAGCTTATCTCCTTTTCTGAATCGCTTTTCTTCGCGAGCAAACGCTTTGGGATGAAACGTTTTTTTTTTTTCTGTGCGTGCGTGCAGAGTGTATTTTTTAGCTTTTTCCCCTTCTGAATCTCTTCTCTTCGCTCAATTTTGTTCAGAACTTGAGCTTTTAGAATTTTCTTGTTCTTTTTTTGGGGAAAGGACAGGCTAAAAAATTATTGTTTTCGCGTTCGCGTTTTTGGAAGCCTTCCCAGGGGAAAAAGTTCGATATAGCTAATGGGCTGTTCGTTATAAAAAGTACTTCTTACGTGCATTTTTATTTAAATTTTTTGTGAGTTTAATATTGACGATAATTCGCTGTACGTGGGTTCCGTCTAAACGGGTTTCACTGTACTCTAAGAAAAAACCAAAAATTACCTCGCACATTGCCCGCACTGACCGCTCGAGACAATCTCCAGATCTCACCAGAAGCCATACCTTTATTCTAAATACACTCCTCAATGCAGCTATAGTCCAAGGTACCGTCTGTCGCAGATAGCATCGTCACCCACGCTGTCGAGGCGATTGCTGATGCGGCAATTTTTGAAACTTGTGCACCATCTCGTCCGTAAAAGTTGCTGTCGTGCCGCATCTGTCGATATGACGGGACTGCGACCTCTTCCTTTCTCAAGGAACTTTGCAAGCGTGTGGAATAATCTCGAGACGTGGCGGTTTGCAAGCTGTCCTCCTCCTTCCATTCTTGCACCCTCGTCGTAGCGGTCGTAGTTCTGGCCTACCGTTCGGTTTCCGATCTCTCGATCAACGAATCTGACGACAGTCTGGTCACGATGCAACATTTTATGTTCTACTTTTTGGTGGGTAGCACAGAGTAGTGGAGTTTGAAAAGCATCGCCATAGTGTTTTTTTGGAGGGACGAACTGGAAGCTCACGAACGTGTTCAAATGATCGGGGCTTTGAGCATTTACCGGCCATTATTCCCGTAAGGTTTCTTATTATATGGATTTTACCGAACAAGTCGGAATGGGCCGTTGTTCCCGCCTCTTTGAAATCGAATGTTTCTACAAAAGCACGGAGTAATAACTACTGAGAGTAAGCATCTTTACTCCTTGGTGTCAGCCAGTGGGGCTAACACCCTGCAGCCATTGTAGAAGCCCACATGAAAACGAGTTTTGTGCAACTGCGAGTGCTCGCGATAATGCAGTTACTACGAAGGTGCAAGCGAGTTGGCCAAGAATAACAATAATCCGCGGAGAAGGGGTACGAGGAGGACGAAGGGCAGCTCGTTTAGCCGCGAGTGCCGCTTACTAATGCCCCGTTCGGTGTTTTTCGCACAGAAGCCCAGCAGCTGGTCATGGGACTCAAGAAGCAACACAGAGATGACCTGGAGCGCACGCAGGTACGTGGGGGTTCTCCGGCCATTCCGCGACGAGGCTCAGCAGGCACGCACGGAACGCTCGGTTATTTTGAATGCCGCCCACCGAGGTGGATCGCTGGGTCTCTTTTGCAAACATACGTTGCGAGAAAGTGGCGTGCAGAATCTACGTAGGAAATGGAGGCCACTTGAATGTAGAAAGAAGGGACGCCCAACAAACGTCTGTTCGTAGTACTGCCTGCCTCGCTTTACAACGGTGTCTTTGACTTGAGTGTCCGCAATACATCTAAAGTGTTCTCAAAGCGGCAGCAAATGACGCCACAAAAGCCGGAGTGTCAGGCTGTCGGGTGTTCCCAGCAGTTGGTTGTACCGGAAGAATGCGCGAGAGAATGCGAGTGTCGCCGATGTTGCGGCATCCCAACTCCCTGACTGTCTAGCTGTAGAGTGACCTGCAGCAGAACTGCCACTACCGCTGTTGCGACATCACCGGAAACATTGACATTGTTAGGCGGAAATGGAGGGACCACTTTTGAGGAGGACGTGGCAAAAGTGTTAGAAGGAATTTCATTCCAGGCACGGACGGCAAACAGTAGTGATCTGTGGTAGTCTTTTGACGGCCGGGTGGAAGACACAGTTCTCTGGTTTCCCAGAAAGAGTATGAGGTGGCCCTGTTCTCGCTGCGGGGGGAGCAAGCGGCCCGGCTGACGGACTACGAGGGCCAAGTGGTGCGGCTGGAGCGGCAGGTGGACCGCTACCAGACGCTGGCCGGCATCGAGGAGCTCACCCGCAGGGCCAGGGACGTCTGCTCGGCACCCGCTGCGGACGGCCCCGCCCCGAGGACCTCCTGCAGCTCTCAGACTCTGGCCGCACCCACCCGAGAGTCTGGCTGCCAGGTCGGTGGTTATGTTTTATGACCTCGAGACAAGCATTCTGGGGGGAGATTTGCGAATACTTATCTAAATAATGATTAGTATGTGGGCTCAAACCGAGAATGTCATATTTACTCACATAATGAACACACTTTTTGCCCCAAAAGATTATGCGTATTTGGGAGTGCCTTTATTATGCGGGGTAAAATTTTGGGCACTTACAGATTTTGCGTAAATGTAATTTTGGGTGCCCATCTCACGGGGGCATTACTGTGGTGTGTCTCCACTGAAAGAGGTGCATCCACATCTGGTCGTGGACGCACCACTATAGCCGTGCTCTATGAATTGATAACCTTCCCTTAGGTAAGTGGTTCTCAACCTTGGATGTTTCGCGCACCCCTTGTGGATCGGCGGAGATGATGGAGGACCCCATTCATGGTGAAGGGAAGGAAAAGGTATAGGTTAATTACAATAAGGATCTAATAAATGTGTGTACCTAAGAGCTAGTGTGGAGTAGACTTCTCTCGTTGACATACACGCGAGAAAACTTGCCCGAAAATTGTGACTTTGCTTCTCAGTCTGAAAAACAAAACTTTTATTGCTAGGCTTGACTAATGAGGCGGGGCTTCGCGGACCCCTAGAATGCTTTTGCAGACCCCCTTTCGAGAACCACCACTTTAAAGGATCTTCGCTTTTTTTTTTTCGTCAAAAAGAAAAAGCGTTTACGAAGCTTTCTCAGCACAGAGAGCGTCGTGAGCGTTCCTAGGCCCACCCACTTTTACGACTTCACTGTTTGAAAGCGGACTGCAGACGATGGAGTGTCTGTTGGTACCAATGCAACCGATGGACGAAACATTTCCGAGGGCAGTTTCTCCTTGCTGGCTGTGCGCATTGCTCGGTTATGGTGTTAATCACTTGCAGTCATAACGCACGCATGTGCTCCCCTGCTTGGCTTGGCTTGGCCTGGTCTGGCCACTTGGCGGCTCACTCAACTTGGTGGCTGGCTGGGTTCGAACACTGTTCGAGACTCGCAAAATCCAAAAGTGGGCAGGGGGTGGGGGGGAGAAAAATTAAAGCCGCTTACAACTCCCTGTAACGCCGAATTAGAGCGCAGCTTTTGAGGAGGAGGAGGAGGGAAGGGCACTGGGGGGGGGGGGGGGTTAAACTAACCAGGGAGGGGGTCATGGACCTTGGGGGTCACGTGACCCCCAATGCAGATGAGGTCATCACTGACGTCACTGATGACGTCATCAGTGACGATGGCGATGCGGGTACCGATGACGTCATTAGTGACGTCACTGATGACTTCACCAGTGATGATGACGATGCGAATGTCGGTGACGTCATCAGTGACGTCGCTGATGACGTCATCAGTGATGATGACGATGCGGATGCCGGTCACGACATCAGTGACGTCACTGATGACGTCATCAGTGATGATGACGATGCGGATGTCGGTAACGTCATCAGTGATGATGACGATGACGATGCGGATGCCGGTGACGTCATCAGTGATGATGACGATGACGATGTGGATGCCGTTGACTTCATCAGTGATGATGACGATGACGATGTGGATGCCGGTGACGTCATCAGTGATGATGACGATGACGATGTGGAGGCCGGTGACGTCATCAGTGATGATGACGATGACGATGCGGATGCCGGCGACGTCATCAGTGATGATGACGATGACGATGTGGATGCCGGTGACGTCATCAGTGATGATGACGATGACGATGTGGATGCCGGTGACGTCATCAGTGATGATGACGATGACGATGTGGATGCCGGTGACGTCATCAGTGATGATGACGATGTGGATGCTGGTGACGTCATCAGTGATGATGACGATGACGATGCAGATGCCGGTGACGTCATCAGTGACGATGACGATGTCGATGCCGGTGACGTCATCAGTGACGATGACGATGTCGATGCCGGTGACGTCATCAGTGATGATGCCGATGACGATGTGGATGCCGGTGACGTCATCAGTGACGATGACGTCATCGGGGGGTCACGCGACATCGGCGGGGGTCACGTGACCTCGAGGAGGGGGTCACGTGACCTCGAGGAGGGGGTCACGTGACCTCAGGGGAGTCACGTGACTTCGGGGGGTCACGTGACCTCGGGGGGGGGGGGGGATCACGTGACCCCCCACAAGGTCACGTGACCCCGGTGGGGGACTCGCGCGGTGCATTATGGGACATTTCCCATGATGCACCGCGCGGTTACGCCGACGGCGACGGCGACGCCGCTCAAGCCGGAAACGGGCCCCTAAGAGCTGCGCTCTAAAAGAATTGTATGTCGACTTCTGTGGGGGGTTCGTTACTTATGCGAGTAAATATGGTAATAATTAGTTAGTGGAGTCTTAAACCTATTCAAATTTCTCTTGCTATAGGAGAGAGAAGGCGGTTCTACTCAGGAAAGGGTTTCGGGGATTAAATAACTGTAAAGAGAGGTAGCGTTACGTGTGGGTACGCCATATTGCAGTTGTGGTCGAGGCGTGAAGGTATGTAGATGAGATCATTAACCCCCTAGCCTTTTAGGACGAGCCTACCTCGTCAATTTGGAGTCGTCACCAAGCCGTTTGGTACGAGTATAGTTTGTGCGCTTTTTTCAATTTATGCATTTGGCCGTTTTGGACGACCCGGCTTCGCCCGAGGCTTAGTTTGTGGCTTGGCCTAAACAAGGCAGCTTTGAATGTTTTAAAAATTTTACCCCGATTCCATTTTGGGCCAGAAATTTGATTTTGAAGGCAGCAAATTTTATTTTGAACCTGACAAGTAAGTGGATGAGCGTAAAAAAAAACCACCAAAATTGAGAACGGTTAGGTCCGAGCGTGCTCAAGTGCGTCCCTCATAATCTTTAGAGTGCTTAGGTTTAGCCCTTTGATGCCCAGCACTACCCGGGAGCAACAACTCGGCAATTGGTTATTTTCTCCGTGCCATGCGTGCCTCAAAAAATTTAGCATCCTCCATCGCAAGGGAGAGGATACCTGCGCTTAGCAGTGGAGGATCGAAAAGCATCTTTAAAACGGATCACTCGTCCTTCAAAACCAAAGCCGACATAATAGAAGGCTCGCGATAATTCAAACTTGGATATTTCATACTTCCAGTTAATTCAAACAAATTTTATAAGATTATTTGTCCCACTGTGTTTTTAATGTATTCATAAGCAACTTAATTCTAACCACTTTTTTGTGTAATTCATACTTTTTGTTCTCGCGGCCCCATTGAGTGTGCTGTGTGCTTCTTTCCGAGCACCGGTGCACTGCAGAGAGGCGACACCCGCAGAGCTTGCTTCTGCGGGTGTTGCTTCTGGGCTGTGCACCGGTGCTCGGTGAGAACCGCGCTTAACGGGGCTTAAAGGGATACTTCAACGAAATTTGAAATATTCCCGTCGTGTTCAAAAATAGGTTGAATATAATCCACAATATCCGTAAATGACAATCGCACGTTTGTATTTTGAGCCTGGTGGCTGTATTTTTCGTTATAAACGGCCCACTCTGGCAAGCGCTCGGAGAAGGCCCAGCTTAGAGCATGTGACATCCAACGCAATCGTGACGTAGGTCGTCTCAAGACGAGCAAAGCTACGGCGAGGCTGACGTAGAGAGGATGGCCTAGTCCTTCCAGCCACCGAAGCGGCTGCTTTTGTACGAATTTTGAGTGACGGGTTAATCTTCTATAATCTTCTAGGGGGACAATAGCGACTTCTGCAACACACAAAAGGGATTCTCGGGAAGAGGGGAGTTCCTCCTTTCTCCCTTCTCTCGTCGTGGCCGAAGACGAGACAACCTCCGTCACTAGCTGTCAAGGTTCCTAGACGAGCATTACAAACGAGGTGTTAGCGATATCCACCAGGTGCTCTTTGCTAATCGTTTAATTTGTTTTAAAATTCCTTTTCGAGACTTTTTTAACAAGTTATTGGTATGTTCCTTGTGATACTGCTCTTTTGAACACATATAGACCAAAAAAATGAGCGCCGAAATTTCGTTGTAGTATCTCTTTAAGGGGTTTGGTGCCATATATGGAGAGTTTGGTCATTGGGAGGAGCGAGCAGAGCCAGGGCGTGCACTAGACGCAGATAGAAGGGCTTGACATGCTCTCTTGGCCAACCAGAAGCCCAAAATTGTCTCCTAGCGGTGGTAGCGAGAAACACTTTTAATGAGTGCTTAAGAGTAAAATAGGGTAACTCTTCGTGGTTGAAAATGTAGCGCGGGAGATGTTTCGATGATAGTCGTGCAAAAAGGTGTAAGATGTGGCTCGAACGGCAGATTGCCGGCCCTCAACGCCTGGCATACGGATCACGTCACTCGTTGTCCTAGATTTTGATTTTGCACGGCCGTGATCGAAAAATCCTGTGCACCATATTTTCAGTCACCGACAGCTACTCCGACGCACTTGTTTTGTTTCTTGCGACCACTGCCAGGGTATTTGCGGCTTCTGGCGGGCCACATTTGAATCTGTGAAGACTCCCAGGAACATGCCCAGCCCACTTTTGGGCAATGATGCCTCCTCGTTTGCCTCCTATACTTCCCAATGAATGGTCAAACTCTTTCTATATGCAGCTCTCAAGGGGCACAATTAAGCTATGAAAACGGGCACCACGCAGAAATTTCCATAGCAACATGCGCGGACGCTGCGACTTGGTGGCGTTGCAGAAGTCCATGTCACAGCGTCCGTGCAAGTTGCTATGAAAACTTCCACGCGGCGCCCATGTTCATAGCTCATGTGACCCTTGCTCAATAGTCCACATTGAAGGACTCCTTGGCCCGATGAACAAAGTTAATTTTGTTTTTTGAGTTGTCATATGCTGTCTAAACAGTCGACGATAGACAGCATCTTTAAGGGATAAATACAGGTATGTCATACATTTCGAAATCGTTTCATATGTGGCATACCTGATTAGGATTAGTAGGCCATAGGCCCATGCAGAGGAAATCATCAGATAGTATTTGCTTTGTATGTGTAGCCACTCATGTGGCAAATCATAATTTTACCTTGCGTCATATTTAGATG